AAGGAACTAAGCCGAAGGAAAATGAATGAATGATTTAATATGAGTTGAGATGGCTAGAAAAATGCATTTGATTCAACAAAAAGATTTTAGGAAGCAATTCCTTTTTCCGTATATATTTAAAATTCTATAATATCTATTGAAGTTCATGTTTTATTGCAGGAAAAAAAAACGCATTCGCAATTATATGAGGTTTCATTGTATTTTCTTATTTTCTGTAGATCATATAGTATAAAACAAATCCAAGGTTGTGCATTTGGTTACCATTAAAAGACAACAAAAAATCATGTTCAGTCAACGCAAGTTAAGGCCAGCTCACACTGCAATTTTTTTATAATCCAGAATAATTGGAGCACGCCAGACTGCACGAACCATGTTCACACTGTAAGATCTCAGCTGTCATAAAGTCAAACTGAACGACAATGAAGACGCGCCAAACTTGAAAGGAAACGCCTCTGGAGTTTGACGTCATCCACCCGTGACACTTTCACTATCCTGCGTTCTGAAATGATTCCTTACAGCAAACGTAAAAAATCTGTAGCTGCAATTTTGCACACGGTGTGTCCAAATAATAATACCAGGAAGAAAGTTTTGACATTTCCCCACGGTCATTTAAATTGCGTCATCAAATTGAGAGCTCCAATTGGTTCTTGGATTGAGGCTCGTCGCAGCTGTTGTCAAACGGCAGGAAAGTGTCTGAAACCTTTTAACACCGTCAGAACTTTATCGGAGGAAAAAAATCGGATCGCAATGAGCAGCTGTCAGTGAACATGTCAAACCAACGATCAAAAATTACAGACTTCAGCCTAGGATTTCAGAAATCTTTTTGAATTTCACAAATTTGTCTCAGATGACAAAATCGTGGCTGAAATCTCACAGTCTGAGCAGGGCTTTACTTAGGATAAAAGTGTCTGCCAAATGCATGAAACTAAATAGGCTTTCAAGTAATTTTTGTTTTTGTTTTCTACTTCACTTTTATTTACTTTTAATTCCCAAACAGAGTTGTTTTGCTGTTAGGTTTGGGCCTGTCAGGATATCTATTTTTGTTGCACGATACATTGCAGCAAAATATATCATGTTTTATTGTTCTTTTATCATTTTATAATGCCAGAATGACAATATAATAGCATCATAATGCAAGTAAACTCTTTAAAAAAAACAACCAATGTTTCATTCTTAAGAATATTTCATTTAATTATAGCAATTTTAACAGTTTAATAATTAGGCATTAGAATCAGAATTTGAAAACTTATATATAAATAATAATAATTATTAACAAAAAAAACTGCAAGATAAAAAGTAACAGCCGCTGCGATATCTGCCACCAGATCTATTTTCAGTTTCAGACACCCACATGAAAATATAATAAAGTAATTTATAGTAAATACTGTAGTATGTTTTTTTAACCATACTGACACTGACACCTCCAATAGAGATAAAGATGTTGCACAATCAGCTAAAGTGTTGCTAGAATTGTTTTTTATGTACGGGCGACATATAACACATAATCAAAAATGACGTCATGTCCATGTGTTGTGCGATAAGTCCATATATTGATTATAGTGACAGGCCGAGTCATTTTAACATATCTATTATTCTCCCATTACTTCAAAACCTTTTTGTAAAATGCTTTCCTTGCAAGAGCGTCCATACCCCTTGTTACTTAAAATAAATGAATTAACCATGTTTGGCATTTGGTTGTCTAATGCAATGTCATTCATACACTGGCATAATTAAACGTTCAAATACTTTGAGTCGGGTGCATTTTACCCAGACGACACACACCTGACATTAAAAACATCGAATTTGTGTGTCCTTATCATTCAGTGTGTGCCCTATTCATGAAAGAAAAGCAACCCTTTCTGACTCTTGTCTGTTTGGGCCTGCCTGCTGCGTGAGAGAGAGAGAGATGGTAAAAGAGAGAAAGAGAAGAGGGGGAGTCTCTCCAGACGCCCGTTGCTGTTGATCATTATGTCTGTGTTCAGGTGTCTCTGAGGGTGGCAGTAGGTGGATTCAAACCAGGAGACAGACAAAGAAGGTGGTGTGTGTGTGTGTGTGTGTGTGTGTGTGTGTGTGTGTGTGTGTGTGTGTGTGTGTGTGTGTGTGTGTGTGTGTGTGTAGGGGGGTTACTTTCCGGTATAGATATAATCACAGCCTGTAATATATTTAACAGTCTTCTCTCTCGGTCTGTTGCGGCTTTCCGTGCCCTTACTTTATCTCGCTAAAGAGCAAAACAGCAACAAACAGATTTCATATATTGCAATTAGACACATCTGGATCCTGTCAACAACACCTGACGGATTTCAGCAATCAGCTTGAACTGGTTTGTTTTCTGCACATGATCAACTTTTTCTTTTAAACTGTAACAAAACACTGCAACATATACTGTATAATCGAAAGATGAAGAAAAACCGTAGACAAAAGCGAAACTGAAGCCCAGATTAAAGGTAATCATGCACATTTAACTTGTCACTGAGCCAAGTTTATCTTCAGCCCACATGCAAGCATCAGTTTACTGATTTAATCTAATGATGCAGTGGTTGTGATGAGAGGCTGGGTGCTGAGATGACTCACTACAGTCTGTGATGGCGACAGCGGAAAGCAGGCAAACACAAGAGGTGAAATCCAGGTGATCTTTTCATCTACACATTTAGAAAGCTGGAAATATCATGTCTGAGCAGATGGAGAGGGTTGTAATGCTAATTTATTTATTCCTCTTCAAATAAAGTGCTTTTTTCTTGATGATGCAGAACACCCATTAAGAAGAATCATTTTTGCTTCCCTTTCAGTGAACAACACTGTTAAAAGAGAAAGCTACTTTATAGGTATGGTTCTGAAAATAATATTTAACATCCACAAACAAAAAGCTCTTTAAAGTGTAAAGGGTTCTTTGGACTGGTTCCTATGTTGTTTAAGAACCATTGACTGAAAGGTTCTTTTGGGGAACCAAGTTCCTTCATGGCATGGAACTATTTACTCATCCTCAAGTGATTTATGAGTTTCCTTCTTCTGTTGAACACAATTTTCGAAAACCTGTAACCATCGACATCCATAGTAAGAAATCTATGTAAACCAATGGTATTGCAATGTAACATGGTAATGGTAAAAATACAGGTTTCCAGCTTTCTTCAAGATATCTTCTGTGTTCAGCAGAAGAAAGAATGAGACGGGTTTTGAACAAGTGAATGGTTCGTAAATGGTGACAATTTTCATTTATGGGTAAACTATAACTTAAATAATATTTTTCCTCTATAAGGAACCTTCTTTTGGTGCAAGGTTCTATTGATTTAAAAGGTTCCTCACTGAACTATCAATGCCAGTGATGCCTTTATGCTTTAATAGTGCAGAAGAACCATTTTTTGTTCCTTAAAAGAACAATGAACAGTTCTTATAAGAGTCAACAATTCTTCCATTCTTAAAATAAATAACCATTTGTTCTTTAACAACCTAAAAAACATTTGTTCCACTTTAACCCTTTAACTGCCTCCTCATATTTTAACTGTTATAAATAATGACAGTTAAAGTAATTAAAGACTGACTGTTCTAAATGGTTTACACACACAGCACTGTTGGTTTACAAAAAAAGTAATCCTGTTACACTACTACACTTGATTTTGATTCTATTGTAAAAAAAAAGAAAGAAAGAAAACAATAAATAAGATATTTTATGGCATACTTCAAAAAATAGAAAGATGATTAAGTATTCAGAAATGTTTCATTTTGAATATTTTTTCAATAAAATGGTCTAACACTTTACATTTTCAGATTTTTTTATAGTGTGTGTGTATGAATTCATTACATTACTTGTACCAAAAACTGACATATCAACCATTTGGTAGAGGTTGATATTTTAGAAATTATGGGATGTGTTGAAAAGAAAAAATGCATTGAGTGTGTTAACTAGAGACATTTGAAGTAAAAAAAAATGCAATCCAATTTTTTTTTTTTTTTTCTTGATGGGGCAGTTAAAGGGATAAAGGATCTTTCTGAAATTTAAAGGTTCTGTGTGTATTAAAGGGTCTATATGGATCCTAAAATGGCAATGGGCATCTTTTATTTGTTTCAATGGATCTTTGGGATCCTTTATGAAGCCTCTGATACCAATAACAATACATACAAATTTAATTTGTATCCATTTTATGAGCAGTTTTTTTTTTATATCTATGCAAATGTTTCCTGCACATTTGTGCATGCTTTTGAGTTATTTATTCTAGAGACAAAAATAAAATGTGTGAAAATGTATCTGTTACAGCCTGATGGCAGAATTGTAATAAACATACTCTTTACATATGACATTAATCTTACAAAGGAGCTTAACTGTACATTTTCAACCTGCTTTAATTTGTTTACAATTCATGTATTAACCTTTGAGATGCGAATTATCTCAGATATTAAAACACCTTGTACATGCAGTGCACACCACACACACATTTAACTCTCATATGAATTGCATGAATTATTAAATCACAAAAGAAAATATAGTAATATGTTATTTGAATTCAAACCAAGAACTGTATTCTTTTTTAACAATGTAGACTAATGAGATTATTGTAAATTAAGGTGAACCCCAAAGATCTTGTAAAAGAAACAATAAATATTAAGAGAACGGTCAAACCCAATTGAGTAAAGGTTTAGGAAAAAGCACCCATACTGTTTTTAATATTATATCTGACACTGAGAGGTTAAAAATAATCTTTCTCTACAAATATTTCAGCATAAGACGAACTATTATTAAAACTATATTTAACACAATATTAATAAATATAACATTGATACATATACATTTATTGTTATAAATAAACCAAATACATAAACATATGCATATGTTTTCCAAAAGCCTAACATAAAACGGTCGATAAACATGCAAATAAAGCACTTTTATGAATAAGTTATTGGTGACAGTTCGTTTTTCATGCGCAGCTGCCACCTACAGATTTTATCTTGCTTTCACGAAAAATAACTGCAACTTTTGCGTTATGAGAGTGAAGTGAAGGCTTACATACCTTCCTTAAAACCTTAGGAGGAGGTAAAAGAAGACAGTCCACGGAAGGAGTGTTTGCATGGCTTCAGAAATCTCCCCGGAACCTCCAGCTGGTCTGATCTGCGCCGGTCACCGCCGAATCGCTGTAGTTCCACTCGCGCTCTCAATGGTTTCACAAACGAGGCGGGGCTTTGAGTCCCATGACAGACTGCGCGATCTATGATTGGCCACTGCGCTGTAAGGTTGACACAATGCTGATGCTTGTGATTGGTTGTGTGTGAAGCTATTTGACGCCGAGTCCAGCGTGTGTTAGAATTTGGTGAAGGGGGGTGAATTAGTGTGGGTGGGTGGGGTCCTTCAGAAAAAAAAAAAAATGAAGACCCATATTTTCTGCGAGTCTGTCGAAATTTCCAGCTTGGAGGTGCTTGAAAAGGATTTTAACCATGAAAACAATGAAACATGAAAGATCATGATTACATTTAACAAACAAATTGAAGTATATTTTCTCATATCAACATTCTTTCACGTGACACTGATCTTTGAACAGTGTTGAAGGTGTGTTTTGCTTGATTTGCTCTTTTCTCTGCCATTATACTTCCAGTTTACCTCACTAACTCAACCAAAACATGTAAAATAATTTTGTGTTCAACACTGATGTGAAAGAAGAACCAATTTTGGTTTCACAAAATAACTAGACATGTTAATGACTTTCTAATCGTATTTTTATATTGATTTTAAAGGTGGTAAAGGTTTTTAATGGGATACGTTATGCTAATAATGAGCTTTTATTTTCAAGCGTAAGCCATTAGAAGAACTGTTTTTATTTTTTGGTGAAACAATTCTTAAAAGAACCATTATTTGGCATATTATATAATTATTTGGTATATTATATTTAATTTAAATTCTTAATTAATTTCAATAACCATAAAAAAATGTGTTAAGGGTGGCGCAGTGAGTTGGGCTGTTGCCTCACAGCAAGAAGGTTGCTGCTTTAAGTCCCAGCTGGGTCACTGGCATTTCTGTGTGGAGTTTGCATGCTCTCGTCATGTTGGTGTGGATTTCCTCCGGGTGCTCCGGTTTTCTCCACAATCCAAAGACATGTGCTTTATTTTAATGTTTCTCAACCACGTTCCTGGAGGCCCACCAACACTCCATGTTTTGGATATCTCTTGTCTGTCACATCCAGTACAGGTTTTTCAGTCTCTGCTAATGATCTGAATGAAATGTAAAAAATGTTTAAAATGTGCTGAGCTGGAGGTCTTTTAGGCAAGGGTGTAGATTTGCTTTTGATATTGGTGGGGATCTAATTTGATACAATAATCGTTGTGGAGGCCAAGATCGAAGCAAATTTTGTATTATTTGCACATGCATGATTACTATTATGGTGCACTTGTAGTGAAACTGATTTCAAGTGACTGACACTTTTCTTTGAAATGTAGCTGCTTAATATGTCCAGGTCTCACCTGAGTTCTTCACAGTTTGCCTGACTTTAAAATTTCGACAGCATTATTTTATTTTGGAGGCGATTAAATTATTGGTGGGGACATTTTAATAATCTGTGGATATTGGTGGGTACACTACCCCTCCATCCATGCTAATTCTACACTTTTGCTTCCAGGTACAGTACATGGTTGAGAAACATTGCTGTAGGTGAACTGGGTAAGCTAAATTGTCTAGTGTATGTGTGTATGTCCTGTTCCTCAAGATTGAGGGTTGAGAGTTGGCCTAGCAACTTACCTCATAAAAAAAAGGACGTTACGAAACACCAATATGGTGCAGATAAATATCAACTTCAATATGCCCCTGGGAGTAAGTAAGTATGTGTGTGAATGAGCGTGTATGGGTGTTTCCCAATACTGGATTGCAGCTGGAAGGGCAGCTGCTGTGTAAAACATTTGCTGGATAAGTTGGCGGATCATTCCGCTGTGGCGTCTCCTGATGAATAAAAGGACTAAGCAGAAGGAAAATGAATAAATGAATAAATAAACTGGATTAGGTCTAAGAAAACCAAAATTTTTCTTAATGTTTAGGACATTTTAAAAACTTTTTTTCTATTGGTATTAAGGGTGGTAAAGGATGCTAATAACAAAATCTTTATTTTCAATAATGTATGAATCATTTGTTCTTTGGTGGAAAAATTCTTAAAAGAACCATTATTTGGTATATTATATCATTATTTGATATTATATCATTATTTGATATATTATATCATTATTTGGTATATTATATCATTATTTGGTATATTATATATAAATTATATTCTTAATAAATTTCAAGAACTATTAATAAGCTTTCTGCAGTAGAAAGGAATAGGGAATTAAAGAATGAAAATGATAAAATAATTATTTAATATTGGAAAGAGGTGTTTTTAAATTCTCAAAATCTATGGGAAAAAAAGTGAAAACACTGTGAAACTCGTTTTTGGTAATTCCTAATACTTAATAATGTAACTTTACACAGTTTTGTTTTTTGCAATGTGTGTTACTCAAAGGCATGTGTTACTTGATTTGCTTTTTTCTCTGTCTGTACACTTCCTGTTTACCCCACTAGTCACGAATCTGAATGAATCTGCTATGCTTAGAGGAGAAAGAGTATTGCTATTGGGACACTTTTAAACAAAGCCATTTGTCTTCCTTCTGGTCAGGGCAGCAGAAGAAGCATTAAAGTGTCCTCCAATAGTTCCGGTGAGGCAAGTTTTTGACCATCATCTGGAATGGATTACATTTTAATTGACAATTGGTTCCCCGAGATCTATAAAACAACAAAGAGTAATGAAAAACACTAGCGGTGATTCTCCTCGGTGCTGCTTCCTCTGAACCGAGGAGCTCTGTGACACATTTCAGTGAATTATTTACAAAAGAAAAACTCAGAATAGAACGCCATCATCCTTACATGAGCAATGAGCATCACTCCTCAAAGATATGAGGCCAAGTAGATTGTAAAAATAGACATGTTAAAAATGAAAATGCTCATCGGTTACTCACCAACCATGTCCTATGATTTGCTTTCTTCCATGGAAAACAAAAGTAAGCTAAGAGTCACACTTTTATGGTTGTAATTGCTTGCAAAAAAAGTGTCCGTTTTTCACAGTATCTCTTTTCCGTTCTAAAGGAAATACATATACACTGTCTGTGATTTCAACTGTAAACAGATGCTACAGTAGAAATCTGTAACTTGGTTAACAGTAAGGTGTCTTAAAGGGCCATGAAGCCACCTTGTTTCAGCAGGGTTTTTTCTCACCTATACTTTGAAAAAAAGTCAGGAAAGTGGGCGTGTCCAGCTCTGTTTAGGGGGAGTGTCAGAGGAGGGAAAGAGAGAAGGTCCTTAAAAATTTGCATAAAAATGGGAGTGCCAGTTTGGGCACGCGCTGATTTTCACAGAGGCAAAACAAACGCACAGATACAGAGGAGAAAGACAGTGACTGTGTTCACATGGATATCAGAAGTCAAATTATTTGCCAAATTTTTATAAATGGTCGACTTTAACTGCAGTTTGGCTTTTTCGTTCAGCAATTTCATTCATGCCCCTCGTGAGATTTGATTCAAGGAGCTGCTGGAAGCGTGAATTTTTCATGCAATATTTGAGACCGCACGGCAAATGAGAGAAAAAAAACCTCCGCATTTCTCGGAAACTTAGATGCACTCGCTAGGTAGTGTAAGGAAGCTGTGTGTGTTATTCCTGTCACAAAATGCAGCGAACATCCTACACGACGGAAATAGTTTGATTGTGGTGCTTACACGTTTACACTCAGAGAGCCGCACTCACAGCCAATCCTTCAGCTCATAATATTGCAGTGATATTACCGTACGGTAAACTTTGTTAACTTAGAAATCATTTGACTAAGGTCTGTCTTTAAACACTGAAAGAATACTGCTGATGATACAAACTAACTTTGCCTCTGAATAAACAAACAAAGACCACTGATCGCTTACCAAATCTGTGGACAGGAAAATCAACACCAACTGGAGCGGCGTCTTTATTAAAAGGAGACGAGCAGCAAATCTGGATTTCACAATTTCCAGATGAGAAAAGCTCTCGGGTAAAAAAAAATGTTTGTTAGACATGTATTTCTGTTGAGCGTTGCGCGCACTGTAATCCACACGTGAGTCCAGCTGCGCTCTCATAGAGGGAAAATAAAAACAAAACCTTCACTGCAGCAAATTATAAAAGTAACACTGACAACCTGTATCTCCAAACAATTCATGTTCTCCCACTTGTTTTGGGAACATAACGTGACGTCACTCTGCCGTCTGAACACTGTATCATATAAAAACAGTCTTCGAAGCTAGCCTGCATATTAATGAAGTTGCACTGCATACACAATAGAGCGTGCTGATTGGTTTGAACCAAGTCTTACTCATGTATTAATGCAGCACATTCAGAGACGTACGAAGGTACTTCCAGGTACAGATGTCCAGTCTACAAACTGGAATACACGCTAAGATCTCATGGCCGTGACGCAGCTTCAAAAATTTGTTTTAAACCGGAAGTACGAATTTGCTCAAAATAACACAGGATAGAGATGCGCGGATGGGCTATTATTTCATCCGCAACCGCATGACAAAATTCATCATCCGTCCGCCATCCATCCGCACTAACATTTTTGACCAATTTTTAAAACCGCACCCGCCCGCCATCTGCTGATTGGGCTCTTTATTTGAATGGCTTATTCCTTTTGTTTATTAAATGAATGTTTCTTTATTGATCATTATATAATAGAGAATGACTTTAATGTAGACATGCAGTTAATCCAAACGTGCAAGTCATTAATTGACGACGCTTTGAAGTGACGCTAAAGATACGAGGACGTGTCTTTTCACTTGATTCGATTCCTCGGTCCTTCAGTCTTTTCCTTCCGTCCTTCCCTCGTAACGTTATCCCGGTGGGGTGGAAACACGAGGAAAGAAAGCAAGGAAAGGAAACGAGGATGCACAAATAAGAAATGAGAAGCACCCGAGCTCTCAGAATATCAGCAGTGAACTCCGTCTCCAATCGGCGCACAGGGACAAAAATAAATAAATAGCCTAAATTAAACGCACTGTACTATACAACTTTTTTTATTGTAGCCTAATAGAAAACGCATTGACACATCATTTCAACATGCTGCTATTTAGCCTACTACTAAATGCCTATTTCACTTAATTTTTTAGTAAATAGATAGAATAAGTCATTTACATTATAGCCTAATAATGTTTACATTTGTAGTTGTCCATAGCAACCCCA